TCAAGCTTTCATTTGAAAAAAAGTTCATCATTTTACGATGATTTTTCGCGGAGTTACCGTTAACCAAAGTTGACCAATTTTTGCTCAAAATTTTTCTATGCCATAATTTTTTTGAGCAGTGTATTAGGTGCGGAATTAAATAATTTATCTGTAAAAAATGAATACATTTATGTATATACAATACGAGAATAATAATTTATCTGAGGTTTTTTAGAAAAATTGGAAAATTAAGTTTTGAGATTTTTCCCAATTTATCCCAATTTATACGAAAAATGTATAAAATTAAAATAAAAACAATTTCAAATTATACTTTTAATATTTTTTGTACGTAGTGTTAGGCCCACATTTCCAATTATTTTCGAAAAAAAGTCGCAAAACATTCTCTGGAACGAAGATTTTTCCCGTTAATATTGTAATTTCTTCTTGCAAGTTTAGGAATGCAAAAGCGCTAAAGCGAGTGTGGAAAGCGGGCTACACGCAAACGAGCCACAGACGCAACAATGTTAAACAAAATATTAATTCTATTCATAACAAAACAAATATTTAATAAATTATATTAATCACAGCACGCGTGTGCTTTATACATAAATTTTAAGATTTTTAAATAAAGTATATTCAAGAAATATTTTATTTTCTCTGCATGCAAGATGGAATAAGGAATAACTATATATATAAAATAGCTTTTGTGTAAATTTTTATTATATACATTTTCTATATAAATTAACTGAAAAGAATTGCACAAAAAGATAATTTCTGTTTAAATTCAATAATCGGCTATTTATAAAGTAATCTAAGCAAAAATAATTAATATATTGATACTTCATCGTTCAAAAATTGAAATCATAAAATATAATTAAAATAATATTAAAATCATATTACTTTAAATAGTAGGGGGAGATGGAAATTCTTCGTACTCGGGACACATACATACATTCAGTGATTCGGGAAGAATCGTGCAGATTCAGAACACGTCTACATATATTTAGTTAGTCTTATTGCGCGGACACATGCCAGCAAAATTTTATATTAGTCAGACTACGTAAACTGACAGAACAGGATATTACGTGTTTTAGCGCTGTCTGAGTAAATTTTCTAAAGTATTTGACAAGTAAGTTTAAGATATTTTTGATTAAGGTTATAGAACAATATTTTTCTAGTAAGTACAATATCTTAAAATTATACTTTAATCATTAATTTTATCGTATTGTTAGTGAATTCTAATAAAAAAAGCGTAAGTATTTTATTTTAAATTTGGGGTAGATTTGTACACAATGAGAGCATCTTTCGTATATGTATATATTATTTTGTTACTTAATTAAAAAAATTATTTTAGTTAAACGTTTGATCTTAACATTGATTTAAATACTAATTTAAAGAAGTTTATTTTATTAAGTTTATTTTATGCAGAAGTTTATAAAAAATGTTTAATTACCTACTGACAAGACTGTTTTTATTTAAATTTTAATTGTCAATAAATATTTAGAATAATAATTTTAATGTTTTATGTTTATATCCGAAGCTATCTCATACATACATAGGCGCCTTATTACATGTACGAAGCTACCCCGCCTGCAGAGGGGCAGATTCGTACGATTTTCCAGTTTTGTAAAAATCATCTGCGTTCAGTTATATATTAATTTATTGTTTTAATTGCATGTTTTTATTGAAGCTGGATATCTATACTATTTATTGATACAAACTTAAGTAGTGTAAAAGCATTTAACACAGTTTGGGAAGCAAAACTTCGAAAAGCGTACGAAGGATCCCCATCTTCGCCTACACACCAAATTTTAATATTTGCGAATACAAAATTTTATAAAATAAAACAAACTTAAATACACGTTCACAAATTTTAATTTGTTAAAACTTTAAAGGTCCGACAACATAATCTATAATAACTTGTTTTATTATATTACTACTTTTTTTTAGATTATCGCAATTAAAAAGAAAATATCATTAAAAACTTAGGTCTATCGATATATAAAGTAATGCGATTGTAATAATGCAAATTATTTGCCTATTTTTTCTTATAGAGCAACGCAATTAAAAAGAAAATATTATTAAAAACTTAACTTTCAATATATAAAGTAATACAGTGATAATAATGCAATTTATTTGCATACTTCGTTTTTTTGTGGATACCCTGTATATCGTATCAAAGATTGAAATACTAACGTAACATTTTATTTTTACACTTTAGCAAGCACGATGGTTTTTTACTTTTGATGTGCTTTAAATCGCACTTTACATGCACGAGAATATTATTCACTTGAGAATAATGAGTCAATCACGAATCGTGAGAATAACTCAATAATGTTGATGATATTTGATTGATTTTTTATTTTAAGTTGTAATTTTGCATCCTCTCTCAAATAGTATATGCGCGTTAGCTGTTCCTCGGATATACGACATAATACTAAAGCCTTGTCAAATAGTCTTATAGCTTCCTCTAGATTTCCTCTGAAAAAAGTAATAAGATTCAGAATACTTTTATTAGAATCTTCTTTATGTAAGTCACATATGTATGATTTGCTGACTCATTTTGAAAATATCAACATACACTCGTCCCTTGATTTTCGCAAAATATTTGTTACGTGTGGATTTTTTTATGCAAATAAGAATCGTATAAATAAAGTCTATAAAAACCCGGGAAAAAAGTTCCATATAATATATATTTATATTTTTATAAATATATAATTATATTTTAATTATATGCAAAATATGTCCATATATGTTTCTTTTCTTTGTAAAATTATTCTTTAATACAAAATTGATAATAATAAGAAAGAAACATAAAAAATAATTAAAAGAATAATTTTTACATTGTTTTTTTAAATAAAAAATTAAATTTGTAGGAATGAGAAAAATTGTTCATATATATAATTGTATATGTATATTTTTAATCATTTATATATGATTATATATGAGCAATTTTTCTCATTTCTTCAAACTTTATTTTTTGTAAAAAAAACAATGTAAAAATTATTCTTTTAATTTTTGTTATGTTTCCTTCTTATTA